ATACCGAGTGGAAAAAAACCAAGGGTGGTCAAGTTAAGACCTGACACGACGGTATAAAAACCCTAACCAGGAAACTGGGTCACATAAGTCCTGTTAAGCTCCCTGACTGGGGACCTCGGGATGATCGTAACCGATGGTTAGAGACACTGAGCGATATGGCTGGGTGTCGTAAACAGTGGCGTTCGTGCATCTCAATTTCTTTGCAACCCTAGACCACTGAACTTCTCCATTTTCTTTTCGACTCCACTTTCCTTTCTTCTCCGATTCTTCATCCAAATGGGCAGCGAAAAGACAGCAACCAAAACCGGCGCACGAAAGTGCGTGGTTAATGGTTGTTCAAACTGAACTGAACTGAAATAGTGTACGTGAATTTGTACAGCTTTCAGCGTTTCTGATAACGCCTCTCCTCACTCTCCTAGAATCGTGATGAACATTATTCGATCTGTGTTCAAATAGACTTCACAGATTCGAATCCTTGTGGAGTGTTTGTCCATTTTGAGTGCCCGAATCGGATCTGAATGGAGTCGTTTACCAATGCTTTTAGCCAAAACAATCAGTTATGTTGTGAAATTTAAAGGTTCTTGAAAATTGATAGGCGAATTATCCTTGTGAAAGAGAACCGCGAGGTTCTTGTAATGAAATGAATAATAACAGACGTTTGCATTCCATTCGTTGTCAAATTTACCGCAATGAAACCCGTTTTTAGGGTGGGAGCAAAGGTGAATCTATTTTCTATTATCTTCACATGACTGAGTTCAAACCATGTGTCAAATAACTCACGGTACAATTATCTTTATGAAAAGACGAAGAAAGATTCATGCTTTGCTCGAGGGCGTGATACGGCTAGGTTACACAGGCCAAAGGAACTCACAACAAAAGCCTGACCCGAGGGGCGACGGTGAGGAGTCTAGGACCGCCCGGAAGTTATCTGTCGAAATATCATTGTGGGTTGGTGTCAGTAGGGTAGCCGGGTGGGTAGGGGGAGGGGGTCCACAAACATAAATTCTGAACGGAAATCATGGGGACCTACCTACCTACGGTATCGTATGAACATCACGTGTCACTGAGTTCAGTTTTCAGTTTGTAAAACCATTAACCATGCACCGTCGTGCGGCGGTTTTGGTTGTTATCTTTCGGCTGCCCATTTGGATGAACAGCAGGAGAAATACAGGAAAGTTGAAGGTAGAAACGAACAGAAAACGGAGAATATCCGTGGTCTGAGGTTGTAAAGAAATTGAGAACATGCACGAATGCCACTGAGTTCAAACGGACTGATTTATCCCCGGGTCTGTGCTTCTTGAGAAACAGAATTCCGATCTTAGAGGACAACCTATTGCAGACTTTTTCACTGGACAAAAATAACATCAGGGATTTGTCTTTCGTGTGGTGAACAGCAGACGCGTTAAGCCTCATGGTCACGAGGGCCCACAGTTCAGTGATGAAAATCGTGAACTGTATCGATTCACGAATCAAGCAACACTTCTTTTTCTTTCAGTCTCACTCTTACTTCCGTTTTACTGAATATAGAAAGATACAATTTCGACGAAAGGGGAAACGATTAATCAAAGGACTGCCATACAACATACACAGAATAAGGAAGTTAGGTGATAGTAATGGGATTCGAACACACGTCCTCTGGGGTGATAATTTGGTAACGTTACTACCGGGTCACCACTGCCCGGTGAACTCGTAGGGTTCAGAAGTGAAATCATTGAGTAGACCGTTTCGTGCAATCCGACAGACAGATTTCTAGGAACATTGTGTAACGTATAAAAAAGGTGCCATCTGGTAACTGGTTCACTCGGAGTTCGATTGGCACTGAAATGTACCACAAGAATATGGTTAAATAATTGTATTTAGCTCATGGATGTGGGCATTTGAAGGTCGACAATGTGTAAAGTTTCTGACAGTTAGCTCAGCAGGGGTTTCACAGTATTTCCCGAAAGTGATTGACAATACAGTTAGGGATGGTGGGGAACTGACCAAACAGTGAATGACACGATTGTGCATGGAAAACTTCGTTGATAAATCGATTCAGAGTAACGTGATTAAATTTGCCTTCACAGCGGTTGTTTGGAGTTCAAAAATCCTAGATTCAAACGCTGCCACTATCAATGCTCAAATATGGTGGTTGATAGGTACCCTATTATTCACCTCAGGCCATAGATTCGTTGTTTAATCCAATCTTGCTCCACCAGTGCAACTGGAACACGAAGAAGTAAACGATGGACAGACATATGCAAAACATGAACAAGCTATCGGGGGCGATGCAGAACGGTGTCGTATACGACGACGATCTTCAGCATTGCTCATCTGGGAGATCTCGGTGGTCGAATACAAACGGTCCAGTAGCATTCTCAGCTCGATGAGGTCATGTCGTGTGACCACGAAACAGGGTGATTTACAACCTACTCCAACATTATAGACAGCTACGATCAAACCCTCTACGTACTCAAAGCGGATCATCTTCTCGTGATGAATAGTGTTGCGTTATGCTGCCTCACACGGAATTGATCAGTTTTTCTCGCACTCAGCGGAAATTCATGGTGTCACGGCAAGCTGCATCAAGTCAGAATTCAGTAAATCAGCAGAGTGAAAAATTATTCTTGATCAGCGACCAGTGCTAATTGATGTTACAGGGTAGAGTTGATTCCAGCTCTTCAGTTAGTGCGTTTGGGAGACTGATAGACAGGCTGATTGGGACAGATTATCACAGTCTAGTCACTGTTGTATCGCGCGTTTACAATGCTCAGTGAAGCACATGGACAGAGCTTCGGGCGAAATAATTCGTGGTCGGATTCACGGGGAGTGCTTCAATACGATCGAGAATCTCGTATGCGACTTCATCATTTGTAGGCTACAGCGATGTGGTCGATATGGGGTCCATTACTGAGTGTGGAAAGACTACCACTAAGTGGTGTGGCGGCAATCGGAGCGTTTGAAGTTTGTACTGGCGGTGATCAAAACATGAAATCAACCGCACAAGCTCCATTTTCGAGAGAAAGTAGTTTGGCCTAAAGGGCCCCGATAAATGTGTCTCGTTAGAAGACCCACTCCACCAG